AAAGTTTTCGCTTCACGTATTAATATAATAGATACACACACAAATCGCCATTATCTTAAGGAATGATTTAAGTTCCTTCATGACACACATTTAAAATGCTTGAGACGAGAGGCCAGCTGCAAACTTGAAGCGCATTCTAGCATTTTTTACGATAAATCGTTTCCTGTGAAAGCAATGCGATCATAGTATGCATTGATAGCTGTTATCAGGCTGATCACAATCGCTAAGTTCAATACAATGTTACATTAGCATTATCTGTCACTACAAACTTTTATACATTTTTATAATGGACTAGCTGACCCGCGCAACTTCGTCTGCGTCTCTCAATAGTAATAATTTTTCTCCGTTTTTTGAAACATTCTTCATTGGTGCTCCGCTCCTATTGGTCTTAGCGTGATGATATATAACCCATAGCCTTCCTCGATAAATGGGCTATCTAACACTGAAAGAATTTTTCAAATCGGACCAGTAGTTTCTGAGATTAGCGCGTTCAAACAAACAAACAAACAAACTCTTCAGCTTTATAATATTAGTATAGATGTATTATGATGCAGGTCTGTTTTAATGTAACTAGGCAAATGAGTTGTAAGGGATAAGTCACAGAACAGTTAAAACTGTTCTGTGGGATAAGTGATCTTAGCCGTGGGAGAATCATGTTCCGGTACCCTAACAAATGACCTTTTTTTACTTGTGGAAACCCCCTCGGCCCGTCTACGGCGTTTACGACGGGATGGTGTGTAGGAATCGGACCGACTAAGTGTGCCACTCTGCACCTGTAATAGGAGAGATCCGGGAACTGCTGTTTTTAAGACATCCGGGCCGGGTACAAATGGCCTGGGTCAACTAGAGCGGTACCACAGCGTCAATGAAACCGGTGTTAAGTATTAAGATATTGAGAGGCCAACATTCCCCCCTTCCCCCCCCCCCCCTCCACATTATGGTGGGAGCACGCAAAGGCCAACTATGCACTTGTGAATCTTGAGTTGCAGAAGTCCCTAGGCGGTGGTAGTCACAGGGCCCCAATTCCGCTATTTTAAATAAAAGACCAATAGCCTCCCTAGCCAGATGGCTGTATGGATGGCCGATGGATGTGGAATAGTTTAGGAAACGGTAGTCTACCATTATTTGGCAGAATTGACAGTTGTTTCAATGACACCACGATGGCTTCAGGGTGAATAATATTGTTATTTAACTATCATTAAACTGCCATCAAGCAGGCACTGATTTTTTGTGAGTGTTATGTGCGTATTTGGGTATTTACGTTAATTCAGACGATAAGTAATTAAACTGCGTAAACAATTATGCTTCGACTTGCAACTTTATAGAGATTAAATATTAGAATCTGCTCGCAACGAAGATCGTCGAGTTCAAAGGTTCGAAATCACCGACAAGCTCGTGGTTTGTCGAGACAAAGTGGTAATATATTGGACTATTGGAGTGGCTAACAAAAAGCCTTGTGAAGAAGATATCAGATTATTCCTTCAGATAGAGGTAAAGTTAATAAAATGAAAACAAATGTTCTATTGGTAATTTATGTTTCACTAAAATTTACCTTACGGTTTCCTGATACCTACTTTGTATTTCAGCTCCTGATATCATTTTAAGTGCCAAGATCATATCAAACTTTGGTAGGCCAAAGCGCATTCCACAATGTGTCACTAACTATAGTGTCAAGAACTATGAGACAAGTGACCAAGGCATTGAATCATCCTACCATTTGTCACAAATATGTGAGATTACCAATAGAGCATCAAGAAAGGAATTTTATAAATGCCAAGTAAGTATATACCTTTAACGTTTTAATTTTTCTAATTTTAAACTACTTTTACAAGATAATATCTATGTATATCTTAATATTTTTTTATAAGAGACAATAAAGCCACTTATCTATATTATTTCACATAACGAATATAAAACTAAAATATGGGGTCTGCCAATAAGAACGCTCTGGTTTAAAAATTGAATAAAACACACAATTTTTGATGAATAATGATTCATCCAATTGATTTATTTGATAGATAATTTTATGCCATTTATTTTTTTAATAATATATCGGCCAAATGACCGCCGCGGCTCTTTTTGCAGACGATCACCCGCTCACGCCAATTTTCGGCTATGGCTCGTCGAATGTTGTTTTTTAGGTCACGAATTGTAGCTGGATTATTGCTGTACACTTTAGATTTAACGTAACCCCAAAGAAAATAGTCTAAAGGTGTTAAATCACACGATCTTGGTGGCCAACTGATCGGTCCATTTCTCGTAATTAACGACTTACCAAACTTTCCACGCAATAATTCCATGTTCACTCGAGTAATGTGAGGTGGCGAACCGTCTTGTTGAAAATAAAGGTCGTCAGCATCAATATCATCAAATTCCGGAAAGAAATATTCGGTTAACATCGAGTTATAGCGCTCGCCATTCACAGTAACAGGGTTTCCTTCGTCACTTTCAAAGAAGTTTTGGACAATTTCCAAGCGTTGGTTTAAAGTGAAACGTGACATGATAAAATGGCAAACCTTACTGAACACAAATGTCAAGAGACGTCGAAGATCCATCATCAAACATGGCCGCTATGAGCTGTCAAAACCAGGTCATCCCTATTGGTAGACCCTATATAAAAAAAAACATAAAACTTTACCTAAGAGATGATTGCGTCTTGGTGAAATCTGTAATGAAGTCTGAAGGGGAGTCAGTGTTGACAATGTACACCTACCTATTAAATCTACATGACTGCACCCAATATTTTTAAGCGCTGTATTGGGGTGTAGAAACACTAAAGACACTGAGTTCAGGTATTGATAAAATTAACTTATATCAAATGAATCTCATGTTTTACATATAATTAATAATAATTATTGATTTTAAAGCAGCGGCTCAATGAATGAAATACTTATTATGTTGTGTGCTATCAAAAAACTGTTTTTTTAATTTGAGGTAGAGCTTATAGGTAATGGATGTTCAATTTCTTGCGTATATTTATATATACTTATATATATATATATTCAAGCATACTCGTATATTTGCGCACTCCGTTTATAATCGCTTCGCCAGACTACATCCTTCCTTGAACCGCGGAGGAACATCAAACGTGTCTAATGATGCACTATGTTGTGTTAAACCATAATTTTATTAATATTGTATTAAATTACTTCTGTAATTTGTTTGCAGAAATAGATAATATAATTTTATTTAATCGATAACATCTAAAAAATACGAAAGTAAGTTCCGTTCCGTCAATGATAAACAAGTCAGTGTCACTGTCAACCATAATTTCATTAATTACGGTGTATTATGTCGTTGTAGTTTATACATTAGTATCGATAAATATGATAAATCTATAACAATTTTATTTACCAACATTAAAAAACGTAATATATTTTTATTTAAAAGGAAATGATTTATTTAATTTTCACCCCAGGTCACTGACCAGTTACCTAACTGAACGGTCACCTGACCGTTCTGCTTTTGCTCTATTTTCATTAAATTTCCTCGATTGCCACCAATTTACTAAAATAATTCCAATCCATCAGAAGGTTGTCTGGAAGAGATTACTTAAGAAGATATCGCTGCCCTTTGTATGTTATTATATATCATTGTTGCTATACAAGTCTCGTTTATCATTCTTCTGTGAAATCTGGTGCACAAATTTATCTATTTGTTTAGTCATTTGGTAATTACTTTTAAGTGGGTATTCTTTCAACTCATATCGTCTATGTATCTCTGCATTCCTAACATACTTATACCTATCAAAGTTTTTTTAACTATGGTCAAAAGAAGTTCTCAGTTCGGTGGTATTGATTTTAAATGTTTTTTAACTCCGTTATTTAAGAAGCAATTAGGAAAAATCCTTTTTTATCTTGGTGAATTTGGTACCATTTTTTGAAGAAAAATACCATCCCTAGAGGTTTAGCAAGGTATTGAGGAATGAAGACTGCAGCTGCAGCAGAAGTAGAAGAAGATCCTTTCTTTAAAGTTAATTATGATTTAATAAGACTTCCTTTAGTCCGTTAGCGCTTTTTGGACAAAGTCCTCAATACAGAATCATGATGATGACCAATAATATACTATACTAGCTGACCCGCGCAACTTCGTCTGCGTCTCTCAATAGTAATAAATTTTCTCCGTTTTTGAAACATTCTTCATTGGTGCTCCGATTCTATTGGTCTTAGCGTGATGATATATAGCCTATAGCCTTCCTCGATAAATAGGCTATCTAACACTGAAAGAATTTTTCAAATCGGACCAGTAGTTCCTGAGATTAGCGCGTTCAAACAAACAAACAAACAAACAAACAATCAAACTCTTCAGCTTTATAATATTAGTATAGATTATAATTAATTGTTACTCCTTTGAACTAATATTACTGTGTAAAACGCGCCCCTACCTACGCGTTGTTGGTAGTTTGGTAGATTGAGTTAAAACAACACGTAAGTATTATATCAATGGTTTGGTACCAATGATTCATTATAATACGTCATTGGTTGGTATGTAACTGGTACAACTCTGACTGGACCAAACCCACAATGTTTAACTAAAGGTACCTACCTAACAATATAGATACGTTTAGCAAACTTTGTAGTTATCAATAAAATGCTCTAAAGAACATAATCTCCAAGTATTTATTTAAAAGCATAATAATATGTAAACTGGATCAAAACTAATACTGTCTGCTGGGGAAAACACCACACAAACGCACTACACATATACGTATTCACTGAACATGAACGTGTGTGTGTATTTTGTTTTGATGCGAACACATAGACATCCACGCACACATGTTTACTTATAGATTAGTAAATTACACAGTGTAAGCACAGAATACTTTCATACGAAGAGATGACGCACGTTGCGGGAACTGAGAGGGTCGCGCGGGACGGGGAAAAACGCAATGGACGGTTTATATACGACGCGTGGACGCAGTCAAAACCAGTTTGAATCAAGAAGTAAACAAACAAACACCTCCCTTAACTTTCAATTCGTAATTGAGCGGCTTTTGGCCAATGGGTATGTAAAACATTTTATTTATCATCAATAAATTGACCTTCACCTAATTTTGCCCGTTCATTGACATTAGATTGTTTTAAATCCTAATAGTAATCGGTTTTACGCAGCCGTTGTTGGGTTTTGAGGTTATTGATAAACTGTGTTTCCATGCCGAATGCTAGCGGCCGGCGACGGCAAGTCGGCATGGTGACCTATCAAATTCTAACCATAACCTAATCAAACCTCGGTCTAATGAAACAAATAACTTCACAATATTTTATAAGAAGCTGTAAAAGTGATTGTATCTTTGTTATACTACTATTTGTTTTCTTTTCTTAATTTAAAACATAGTTATTTAACAAAACATATCTTCACATTATAGCATGTTTATTTATTTATCTATTTAAATGCGATCAGCTGTATACCTATTACAGATCTCATTATTTAACCGTCGATTGTCTCTTAATAATTTCGTGTTTTAAATCTTCACCTAAAGAAAGTACAGATAACGCATTAATATAGTAAGTTCATCATTTTTTGATATCGATTTTTTGTAGAATGTGTTTTAATTATTTGTTGTGGAACCTGACGCTCCTTCAAGCATTGACAAGCAGTTTACAATTTTCAGGACAGTTTGTTACTATTTTAGTAGTTAACACCAACGGAATGCACTAAATGTATCGGTTTCTTGTTCATATCCACATTCACTAAAATTTGAATCGTCATTCTTTTAGCAGATTTCTGTTTTGTCAAAAATTTAAAACTATCACTCAGATTACACAGATTACGCAATGATAAAATATCAAATATTAACTGTTTACTTATTTTATTATCTTGTTATTAAACAACTTTTGCTTATTAACTTTTGCAGATAAGTGTTATTTAGATACCTTTGGACTTGTCTTTACTTTATAATGTTTCTTCCATTTATGTCACGTGCGTCATCATCACCGTTACCGGCCGACACACGTGACACGTGACCCGATTTCATTTCCCATAATTGAATTAACCATTTGCTAAAAGCCTACGTTCCTAGAACCCTATAGTATTTTCTAGAATTTGTAAATAGACCGTAATAGTGTACTCGCCGTTGGTGGCCTAATAAATAAATAAATTTATCAAAGGCTAATAAATAAACTAGGTTGGCACAACTAGGTATATTGGAACTATAGAAATCAGTTAAACTGAAATAGTTTAGTCAAAATAAGAACTGTTCGAAATTAAAATCATGATTTTTTCACTTCCATAAAGCAAAACCAAATTTTATAAATATATTTTTCGTAGGCATAAAGATTAATCTTTCTTAGTATACTCGTAAATAACTTTGTATCGTTTGATCTTACTTTTTTAGAACGTTCAAGGCTAAACTGTCTGTCAGGAAGCTCACAGACGATAATGGTCTGGCTTACGCCCATATACGTGTACATATGTAAACTAGCGTGTATGTTAATATGTTTAGATATTTGCAGAAACCAGCTGTTTACATGATAATTGAATAATCTCGTTTCCTCTTAAATGGAAGTGTGCGTCATCAGTAGCCGCGCTATTAGCATTCTTTATTAACTGTTCTTGGAGTTTGACGTCATGAAAATCCAGCTATTTGTTGCGTAACTAATGTGTCACTTTTATTTATTTATGGGTGTGAACAGTCTAGGCTACGTTTCGTTGGATAATCTGACATACATACCTACTTACTGCTATTTAAAGTGGTAGCAGTTTTAATGATATTAACTTAACAGAACGAATATAGACTTTATTTCATCTGCATAAATAAGGATTCGCGATAAAATTATAAATGTTTGATATCAAATAACAATAGAATAGTTATTATGACCAAGCTTCCCAGATAGTAGTATAATTGGGTATAAAGTCTATAAAAATATTTAGACAGCCATGCACACAGTACGTAATATGTAGGTATATTTATCTTTTTAGTTTTGTACAATATGGTTTGAATTTATATAATTTCTGGCAGTAACATCCTACAGTATAAAACTATTTAACTGTACTTACAATCTTCTTGGTAACATCGAAACCCTCTTTTCTAGAAAATGAAAATAGTTACTACATAAGTACATATACCATATATCATCACAATTTAGCGGCATAGCAAAAGACTCGTGTAATCAATAAAACTTTTTGCCTTGTTTCAGATACGTTAAATATAAAACCGTTAAGTAAGGATTTAGAGTGGTCTCCGGATGCGCCCTCGGGCGTTGAGGCCACCGTAGGCGCAGCAGGGGGGTCTGCCGCGCCTCTCGTATGCACATCCAACGAAGAGCATGCCCTACGCCGCGTCGTGGGCCGCTGGGGCGCCGAGTGGTTGAGCTGACTCGGCTCGAGCACTAAGTCTCCCGGCTTTTGGCCGGCAAACCACCCCCTACCTGCCCCAAGGTGGGGGGCTCCCCGCCCCGCCCTGCAGCTAAGCCTCCAAAAGTATGAGGAATTAGTTGCTAAGGCGGAGGCGTTGTTGAGCCATCTCGTCGTCTCAGAAAACTACGATTCCATCAACAACTTTCTGTCTCTCTACGATGGGTACATGGCGTCGCCAGACCAGACTCTTGACGTGTACTTTAAGAAGTATAACCCCCCAATCCGTGCGCACAAGCACACGTGTGTTGGTCTGGGAATGGAAGTCATGAAGCGTCTGAAAGTTTTGGAGAAAGATTTCCCTGGAATTAGCAAGTCGATGATGCTGGTGTCCTGTGATGAGAACATTGAGGATTTGCAGGACTACACAACCTCTTTCCCAGGTCCTCAAGGATTCTTAATTGAAACTGAGAAGGACCACGTAATGATGGCTATTCCAGTAAAGATTGATGGCAGACCTGGCATGTTTTTGTCTGATTTGGGTTACCATATAGCCAGGGTGGCTACAGTGATGGTAGACCGCTGTTACCCGCATACGGGTAAGTGTGAATTCTTTTTACTAAACACCTGTTTCTGGACCTTTATATGTATGTAGTCAGTCATTTCTATAAGATATATGTTTTTCCGCAGGCTGGTTCATTCAATCGGACGAGCCCCATTGCCGCAAAGAGTACAACTATCAGTTCAACCTCCAGAATAGCAACTACATCGAATGGCATGAGCGTGAAACCAGGGGTGTCAACATCAAGGAACGTTTGTCTTTAGTATACGTTGCGAGGGCATATCTGTCTGCTGTTGAGGTTACTGAGAAGAGAAACCTGGTGTGGGACTTACGGTTAGTACTTCTAATTTTGTTTTTTTTTTTCACACTGCAGATGCCCAAACAAGCTGACTTCATAGATTAGTTGACTCTATGTAAAGGCTAGGTTATCATTTCAGAAGAGTCTTCTGGCATTTTGACCTACTAAAGCTAACTATGGTTTTTGTCGAAAATAGTAGTTAGTTAAAAGATAATTACTTAACGAAAGGTAATTATAATAAACAAGCATAAGTATATTAAACGCAGAGTTTATTTGAACTAAGCAAGAACCAAGCTGATGAATCTTAGTAAATCGATTGAAATCATCATCATCATCATCAACAGCCTTTTACAGTCCACTGCTGGACATAGGCCTCTACTTAGAAAGGAGGTTTCGGCCTACTATACCACGCTGGCCAGACAGGTTGGTATAGGGTTTGTGTCAAGTTATCCTTCTCTCTGCAGTGCTGTTGTTCTGCGTAGTTTTTTCCCTTAGTCTGCTCTTACGACACCCACGGGATGAATAAGGGTGGTGACGCTCTGTATTCTTAATCCATCACCACACGCATAGTAAATCGATTGAAAAGAGTAACAAATATTTTATTTTAATATTAAAAATAGATATGTATATCGCTAAAATATTCACAATTTAATAAAAACGAATATGATAAATTTATCTCCCGAGAGCTTATAAAATTGGCTAACATTCAATTCATTTAAATAGAACGTATGGAATTCATAAACTTTCGGTACAAAGATGGCGTCCGGGCTTCAAGCCTGAAATATTTCCATTAACATTGACGTCAGTTGATATTATTAGAATAATGTGAATCTCCTCTAAACTACCAATCTGTCTGCCAACGAAATTTATTTAATCCGTTTTTGTCTTTCAGGAGTTTACTCTCTCGAGATCCCAAGGGCCGTCTGACTGCCGGTGTCTACTTCCCCGTCAAACCAAAGGACCAACAGTTTACCATGTTCTTCGACTCTAACACCGGCAAGATTAGGAAAAAGTTCAAGTTCGAAACCTTCTTGGAGTTGCAAAAGGTAATTGAGATTTTAAAAATTCATTATCTACTATTTAAAGTAAAAAAATGTGTACACTCTTCTCTCTCAACAACGAATTGAATAAATATGTTACTCGTATTATAATAAGACATGCTCTCAAATTCAAAAGAATACAATTCTATCCATCTATATCCTATCGTGGGAGAGCCATGCTTCGGCACGAATGGGCCGGTCCGTAAACCGGTGTTAAGCAATTCTTTCGTTCCCTTTACTGAGTGAGTGAGGTTACCGGAGTCCAAATCCCCCCTCCCGCTGACTCGAGCGAGAGGGACTCCAAGGGCGGCAACGCACTTGTGACTTTTGAGTTGCAGGGGTCCATGGGCGGCTCCCGTCTGCTCGTTTGTCCCTTATACCATAAAAAAAATCGTAATCAAATTAGCCAACAAATATACATATTAAATGGAGTTACATTTATACTATAATTGTAAAAATTGTTTTATTGAACGCGCTAATCTCAGGAATACTGGTTGCAATTGAAAAATTATTTTAGTTATTGATAGCCTATTAAGAAGGCTTTATGACATCTCGCTACGACAATGTTTCAAAAACGGGGAAGTTTATTCTTTTTGAGTCTACTATAAAATCAATAACCTTCCAGCCTACATAGGCACACAATATATAAAATAAACTTATTATCTGTTAGATAGATATTAATATCTTTAATCTATACTAATATTATAAAGCTGAACTGTTTGTTTGTTTGAACGCGCTAATCTCAGGAACTACTGGTCCGATTTTAAAAATTCTTTCAGTGTTAGATAGCCCATTTATCGAGGAAGGCTATAGGCTATATATCATCACGCTAAGACCAATAGGAACGGAGCACCAATGAAGAATGTTTCAAAAACGGAGAAAATTTATTACTATTGAGAGACGCAGACGAAGTTGCGCGGGTCAGCTAGTGTTAATTTATGTGAATATTAAATAATGATTAGTAATTGCGAGAAAGGAAAGATGATGGCGTGAAGTGATGTAACAAAGTGATTATATGAATAATATTATTGCGTCATTATTTGTAGACCAAAGTTAATTTATTTTCTGTACAAAACTATTTAGACGATTTTTATACCAACCATTATGGTTTTCTTTTCGTTATCATGCGGTTTTATTGACTGGTAATGCCGTCTGGCGAGAGTAAAGTGATCACAGAATATAAAATGAGAGATCGGACTTCATAAAATAACAAACGTCACTGTGTATTATGGCGTTCCGTGCTATTGAGGGCATGTAAAATAAATAGTCCTTTTTACATATACATAAGTTGTATAATTGTTTTTTTTTTAATTCCAGATTCCAGATGAGGTAGTCGATGAAGTGGAACAGTGCAACGACCAACTCCGTCTTCGAGACGGTGAGCTTCTTTCTATCTTGAATAGGTTGGCTCACATCATGGCCGACGAAGAATATATGTCAGAGCTTCTGGATATCAACAACCAGATCGTCCAACTCTCTGCTGGAAATTAAACAAAAAATTTCAAGATCAGAGTCTGCAACGGACGCCATAATAGTTTAGCAATTCGAAAACTAAATTAAAAAAAAATGTCTATGGATTTCTTTAAACGAGGTTCTTATCTGGACGTTGTTGAATGGAATTCTTTGAAGTTTCCTAAATATTGTAATTTTAATATGTGTATGTAGAATCATCAATAATGTTGTACTGTATTGTTTTAGACACAGGCTTAAAACATAGCACTAACGCTATCTATAGCTAAAATAATCCTAGCTACAGTAAAATTGTGATATCAGAAAATTAATCCTTGAAAGGAAGAACTAGAAAGAGATACCACATGATGATCATTGCTTGTGAAGGATAAGAAAAAGTTACTGATTTGTAGTTTTTTTTAGTCTCACTAACAGTTCTGCTTCTACTTAGTTCAGGCAGTTTCTTATTTTGAATAACTTTATTAGTAAGTTTCATTAGTTTTCATGCACATAATATATTGTTTGTCAAAGTAGTTTTTGCACAGATTATAAACCTTAATAAATGTTAGTTAGTTGTGAAGTAGGTAATAAAACTGAGACTATGACGAGATACGGTTCAACCTTGGAAATAAAAATATAAAAAAATGTAACTACGTTGTTTTATTTTGATCTCACTAAATACCTTCCATGTAGGCAAATATAATCGTATAATAAAAATTAGATTTTGAAACACTGCCATTTTAATCTGCCCCAAACAATTTTTGAACAAATGTCTCAGTAATGCCATCTATTAAAGATGACGAACTTAATGTGTCATCTTTAACGCCATCTATAACGAGTGTTTAATACACTCGTTAATAGATGGCGTTGTGCTTTTGAACTAAAGTTATATTTAAAATTTAAAACTACCTATAGATCAGTAAACGACAGGCTGGATTTAGTACACTTAATAATATATCAGTGCAAGCACATGAATTTTTCAGTTTTATATTTTCAAAACGGACTAAGTACATAATACCTGTTTTGGTTTATCTCATCACTATCTTTTGCCCGTGGCTCCGATCGCGTGTATGTCTCCATACCAAATTCCATCTATATCGCTTCAGCGGTTATTGATTTCTCATACAAATTTCCAAAAGATCCCCTAAAAAGATGATTCTATCCTATGTCAAAAATAAAAAACTATCCTATGTCCTTACCCGGGACTCGTACTATCTCTATATACCAAATTTCATATAAATTGGTTAAGCGGTTTAAGCGTGAAGACAGACAGACACAGTTTTGTATTAATAATATTTGTATGGATAATGTTAAGAAAATGTTTTAATGCGCTATACATAAATTTATTTTATTTTAACATTTTGAATTCGATTTAATTCGATCAGAATACCTACTTTTATTTTTTTTTTATCTTTAAAAAGACTGTATTCTGTCTATCCCAGGACTTTACAAACATACATGAAACGGACACAAAGAACATCCAGACTCAGAACAACAATTTGTGAATCACACAAAGTGTTGTCCCATGTGGGGAGCGGACCCACAGCACTCAGCGCAGTAGGAAGCGGCGAGGTGACCGCTTAAACTACTACGCCATCCGTGCAGTCCTATATAAAAGTTCGTTTAAGCTAAAATACAAACTGCTGGAATAAATTATATTACAAAGGTTAATACGTTATAAAAGCTGAGTTTTATTATTACTGAGGGCTCAAATGTTAAATCTGGAGTGTATTATATTTCATTTGACCATTACTTTAAAGTTTTACTTAAATTAAATCATTTAAGTTATTTATTGCGAAAAAATACAAGTATTCATAACTATTTTTTGTATCTTTAAATGTTTTTGGACTGATAAACACAATTCTCTTTATTGGGGAACACGAAAACTATTAATCTGGAAGGAAAAATCCGCAGTGTCAAATTATTTTTATGTAAAGTGTTTTCTTAGGGCATACTGTAAGTATTTGGATTCTGATAAATAAGACGAGATATAAGACTTACAATACCTTTATTGTTTTTCAAAGTATATTCCCTCGCAATTAATGGATTTTTGCATTGACAGTAGTGTACTGTCCTAAATTGCCGAAAAAAGAAGCAACCATTTTTTACCAATGCTTCGACTTTTCTTAACTTTCGTCTTTTCGTCAAATCTTTAAAAGGAAAAACCCACTCTGCTGGCTGGCTTTTTCTTTCAGTTTCAAAGCAGTACATCCAGGTTTCGAGCAACTCTCTTGTTGGCTTAAGCCACAACGAAGATTATAAAAAATAATTGAACGAAAATGTTCACAAAATTCATTTTGATAGCGACGTCACAATGAAAAAACAAATGACAATCTCGCAAATTAAAAAGTAACATGTTCCCACAGAGTTCCATTTTCGAATTCCATTTTTTTTTTCATTCCTTAGTTGTAAGTGGCCAGATCCAGATACTTTCAGTATGCCCCACGCATGAATAGTCTGATTAAATGCAGAGGACCTAACTAAATGGAGGACCTACATCATTTTCCATTGTTATTATATTTTTTCCTGAGTTTTGTTTCATGTTCTTATTTTTTCCTGTGTTTTAAAGTTCAACTTTAAAGTGATTTTTTTTAATACACAGTTCAGCACAGTTACATTGTCAAGTAAGAGTCGAAAATAAAAAAAACATTAGAGTAAATCACAGATACTAGATATAACCTTAGATAATATCAATATCATTTTAATTTTAGTCTCTCGTGTAGAGGGCGCTGTTTTGCATATATGTACTGTGTTATGTTGAGTTGTCAGCATATTGGTGACTAAACTACTTATTAATTTTATAAATTTTAATGCAAAAACAATAAATTATTCGTTTTTTTAGCTTTCACATTTTACCTACTCAATCACATGTATACATGTCGTCAAAGTGACAGAAATAGATATAAGTTACTTTTTTGAAGGATAGATAAATAACTTCTACGCTTTACGCTAGATAATCTATACTAATATTATAAAGCTGAAGAGTTTGTTTGTTTGTTTGAACGCGCTAATCTCAGGAACTACTGGTCCGATTTGAAAAATTCTTTCAGTGTTAGATAGCCCATTTATCGAGGAAGGCTATAGGCTATATATCATCACGCTAAGACCAATAGGAGCGGAGCACCAATGAAGAATGTTTTAAAAACGGAGAAAATTTATTACTATTGAGAGACGCAGACGAAGTTGCGCGGGTCAGCTAGTCTTTTTATATCGAAGCTTTTCATTGTCAAAGATAGTGCCTTCACAGAAAGAATTACGTTACTTACAATTTAGATAAATACATGTAGATAGTGACGCTATAATTTTGACATTGATAGGTAACGTATTGGCTTATCGCGACCAATCTGATAACATCATATGTTCACATAAAATAAAATAAAATAGTGGTAGGTACACCCCCTATTTTCTATTCTGTTAGGTACCAAAGTAATTTTTTTTTTACTAGATCACTGGTCAATAGCATGTAGACTCATGTAAGGCATTATCTTGATTTTTAAGTGCCCCTCCCCACGCTTTGTACTCGCACATCACAGTCACATAGATCACTTGACCCACAGACTTGACCCTTCGATCAAGAGCATTTTTTTTTCGTTGTCGGGGTGGATCTCCTGCTCCTCAGGGACTCAGGAGCCAGGAGTATGTAGTGATTCCACTAAAAATCTAGTGCGAGTTTGTTTTACATCAACTCGCTTTTGATACAAACGTTTGGTCGGACCCGAGACCTCAGCACAGCAGTCACATACGATACCACTGCACCACCAATAGTATTACAATAATAAATTGTAGACGTCTCAACAGTCAAATCAATTATTTCATTCACCGTCGGAGGTTTATACGTGGATCCGAACATGAATTTATGGGATACAAAGAAATTGATTGCAATCAAAAGAAGACAATGGAGTGTAAAATGTTTGTTAGCTGCAATTGTTTTAAAATTTACGTTTTCAGTTAATTTAGTATTTGTTATGAACCTACTCAGAGTGGAGATAAAGCACATTCTTTTTTGTTCTCTTTTAAAAACACAGCTCCCACACTAGGAATATATCCTGTGTCCGGGACGTTACAAACATACATGACGGACACAAAGAACACCCAGACAGAACAACAATTTGTGGATAACACAAAGTGTTGTCCCTTGTGGGGATCGAACTCAAAACACTCAGCGGAGTAGGAAGCGGCCGGGTGACCGCTTAAACCACTGCGCCATCCGTGCAGTTATTTTAAACAAAGGATTTTAACTCCTTTCCTTCTTTTCTGATCTATCTCTCTTTGACATCTACACCGAATTTTTCTTATTGATGCCTAGTCAGGGTCCCAATTACGTAAATGGGACTAAATATATATAGTTGACAAAATGTAATACACCTTTGCATTTACGTGAACTAGCTACTGCCGCGACTTCGCTTTAAAGACAGTTGTTGGACTTTTTTTTAGGGTTCCAACTACTTGTAACGATTGCACAGATGTTTGTATGGCAACCGGGACCGACGCAACGGCTCTCCGAGGCACGGTAGGGTCTTAATGTGTTATGAATGATCACCCATCCATCGACTGATCTGGCTAGGATTGCTTAACTTACTCGGTTACTTAGCCACGAGCCTATCACTTATAAGCTACTTACTAATAGTTGCATCATTACATGACTATGTATTGCCAATGGCTTCCTGTGATTAGTTCTTATTTCGTGTTTCTAACTTTGAAAATCACGAACTTCAACACAACCGTTCATCTCTTCTTTTACTCTATTAGGGGTGAAATTTCCAAAAATCCTTTCTAAGTGGATGCTTACAACATAAAAAGCATCAACTGCTGAAATTTCATGTTTGTAGGCTCAACGGCTAAGGCTCTGCGTTGATGAATACGTTATTCTAATGACGGGCCTGTTGGTCTAGTGGTTCGTTACCATGACTGTCGGACATGACGGTCGTTTGTTCAGTGTCTGGGTGTAATTTATCTATATTATGTATGTATTTAAAAATATAAATGTATATTTATCATCAGTCTGGTTACCATAGTACAGGCTCTGCCTAGTTTGTGTGAGA